CTCACGGCTCACAAGGTTTCTGCTAAATAACAACCCCCAAATGAGACTGCATGGTGACAGTGCTCTGCAGCATCACGGTCCCTCCCTTCCCAGGACTTACAAAATCCAAGGACGATCAATCATATCAGACATGCACAAGGGGGTAAACACCCCTGATTTGGGTCTTATTTTCAGAGGTAGGGCTAGGATGGCATGGCTGCATTTGCGATGTGGGACTATTTTACCTGATGTCCCCCCCAGCAGGGACCCAGCATGCCACCAGCCCCACAACTGACCACCTCACTGTGCTGCTGGGACTCCAGAACTGGCTGCAGCCCCAACACACCTTCAGCCACTTGGCATCGCCTGTGGGGGACAACTTGTTAATTTAACATCTATATTGAGCATCATTTAACCATGCCCTTTAAATTATTTCAAGAGCTGTTTCCCAGTACACACTGAAGCTGCTTGTGGTTGACTTTTACACAGGAGCCCAGGAAAGAGCAACCCAGTTAAGAGCTTCTTCAAGTGACAGAGGGAAGTTGCTGGGAAGAAGGAGAAACCAGGTAAAGCATGTCCTGCAATGTGGTGTATAATCTACAACAATAGAAAAGTCCTCTGGTGAAGGAAGTCCCCAGATTCCTGCCTTGAAGTCTAGTGCACCCCAAGCACCAGCAGCAGCTTTTCCCCCATTTCACGTGTCACTCTGCATCTCCACTTGAGGCAGGCAAAACCATGCACTGGTATTTCCACTCTGGATCTCAACCTTAAGGACTGCATCAAGCTGGCCAGGTCGATGCCTACACCACAAAAAGAAAAAAAAAAAAAAATCTCCCAGCCTAGAGAAACCCTTGTAGATACCACAGACACCACCTGGGGCAGGACTACGTAGTCTAAGGCTCCAGATGCCAATAGCTGTCCTGCTGCCATGCAGCAACATTTCCTCCTGCACGGGCACTGCTGGTTTTAAAGGAATCTGGGTCAGGTAAGGATTTATCATGATGTCTTTCTGGACAAATAGCTGCTGTGGTTCACATTTGGGTTTTCTCTGCAAGGCACTGACTACCATGTATTTCAGATACTTTTTGCAAAGCCTACTTATAATGCACTTGCCTCCCTTCAGGTGATATTTGTCAGATTCCTACTATGGAAATGTTTTTACCTCCTGACAATACCCTTTAGATAGCGCCTATGGAGGTGGATGACTCAAGCTTGACATGATGATTTCCATCCACCATTTTTTATTAAAAATACTCCTAGCAGTTTGTAATGTGAAAACAGAAGCTGGTTTTAAAAGGGATGTGGAAACCACAGAGTATGCACAAACTGCCACAATTTTATGTCAGCCAACAACAGCCAGAAAATCTATATGTAAAACTTTCCCCCAACTTAATTTATAATCTCATACAAAGAAAACAAGAAGCATTTGGCAATAACATACATCCAAGATCCCACCGTACTGCGTGGTCCCTAAGAGACAGGTTATGGATGGCCTGCCACTTTCAACTTCAACATTTACTGGATGTTACAAAGTTAAGTATCACCTAATATAGCTTTCTGCAAGTTAATTCCTTTTGTGATGGTGACAGCTTCTAAAAACCTTCACACTACTACAGAACCGCAAATAGCGAACACCACTGCTAGGAATAGACAAGCCATCAGCAGAGTGACCTCTTATCTCTCCAGGCTCTTTCTTTGCTGCCAGCATAGTATTTAAGGCAGGATGGAAAAAAACAGTGCGGAGTTAAAGTCGACAGATGGCTGATGCAAGTCGGAAAAGTTTTCATAGGAGAAAAATAACCAGTTGGAGAAGAGACAGAGCAGCACCCTAAGCACACTGTTCTGAATGGCGCGCATTCATCCAAAAACCTAGACTACCTCCCCCTTATGTTACTTGAAGTCAGCGATATTTTTCATTTCCTGATCTCCATATTATCCTTCATCCACCACCCGCATGCTTGCAAACCCAGAGCGTTTGCCGGTACTCACTGCAGGGACGTGCAGGGGCAGACACGCTGTGTTTCAGCCAGGCTGTGCAGCACCTTCGCCCTGCAGCATCCCGGAGCCCACACTTGCAGAAATCCTTCCCCAAGTGAATGACGTTGAGACATGCAATGCTAACCGTAAAAAAATTTTTTAAAAAATCTGCTGGAAAAAACCTGACAGATAAGGCACTTGTTGAAGCCATGAGCACAGAGGAGCATTATAGAAAATTCCCATCGACTTCCCCAGCTTCGATAATAATTTAATATGTGTGACTGGAATTTCTCAATAGGCCAGAACTCCCTCGGGACCAAAATCTCATTGAAAAAGAAACCAAGGAGAATTTGGCATCTCTTTCCCAGCCTGTAAGATTAAATGCAAATATGTTATTGGCATCGAGTTATCACAGCTTGATATATCCACAAAGCTCCCATACACTGACATTAACTTCTCAAGGAAGAACATTTTGTTACCCTGAGATAGTTTATGCTTAAAGGCAGAAAGACTATTTCTGTTTTGGGTTTGGGCAGTGAACAGTGGTACCTTCACCAATTACCAGCAGCACACCTGGGCACTGATCTAGTATTAGTGACAAAACACAGTAAGGTAGAGGCTGCTGCCCTAGTATTACATAAAATTTCCAGTGGCCAGGCTGCACTCTGGTAGCTGGCACACAGAAGAGTATCTCCAGCTTCTTATGCTGCTCTGGCTTTAGCGGAGACAAATCAAATCAATTTGGTACCACTTCTGTGTTTGCAGGTGGAAAAAAATGGCCTGAGGTTGAGCTTTTCTCTGCTAGGCTAAGAAGTGGGGCATATCTTCATGGCGAAGACACAAAGCCCTCAAAAATAGGTGTTTGTAAAGCAAAAGGCTGTCAAAAAAAAAACAAAAACAAAAAAAAAAAACCAACAAAGAACCACACAACTAAATTCTAACAAGAAGCCTGTGCTTAACAGCCACAGAATAAATGGATGATTAGTTAAAGTTCTCTAACCATTCTTCTGAAGAACGAGGGGGATACTCTTTGTGAACAGAGATGAATGTACTCTGCTGCTCTCCAATTCAATGGCACAGTTATAGTAGGGCACCGACCACATTAAATGGATGCAGCGCTCGCATTAGCAGCAACTCGGCTGCTGCCTTCTCAAAAGACGGCTCCTCTACACCTAATTCACTTCATTTGCCGTTAATGAACGGAGATGATCCACAGCCTCTCGAGTGCTGGTTTCTCCCTGGGGAAGGCGGGTCTGGCCATGGGGCTGTGCTCCGCTGCCTCCCGCAGCTGCTGCCCCCACCCCGGAGCTGCCAGGGGAAAACAGTGCCAAGAGGGCTTGGAAAGCTTGTGGATCACCCTAAGTGGTTCGAGTTGACAGCAGGGAGACATGGGAAGGATGGAAATGAGACTGGGCTTCCTTCCCATGTCCAGGCACAGACCATTTCCATGCAGAAAGCAGAGGACCAAATCAAGGACAAGTTTCCCTCATGCAACAGGGTGGCCCTGACAGTGGGTAGCAGCTCTGAGGCCACTTGAATCAGTTCTTGACACAAGGCTGCAAATATCAAAGGCAATTTCAGCAGATGTGCTCTAATCAGGTTAGACATAGCAGAAAAACCTTGGTTGTCTGAATTTGAAATAAACTGCAAGACCTCATCCAACAACCTCATGTCTGCTCAGCCAACCCCCATTATCCTGAATAGGGACAACAGCCACACTTCACCTTGCAACACAATCTGTTGTCTATAGGATACACAGAAGCTAAGCCAGCTCAGGTCTGCTCACCAACTTAAATCTTTAAGCAAAGCTTCTGTAACTCAGGAGAAGAGCCCAAAGAAGCCTCTGAAGTCCTTGTGCTCCCGGGGTCTTAGCTAAGCTGCATTGAAAGTGGTTTCTCATGTTGCATCTCTCACCCGGACTGTGTTCAGCACACACTCATTAGGAAGAGGAGAAGCAGTTACAAATACTCAGAAAACATTGTTTGTACTTCAGTTAATGTAAATCTCACAAAATCAAATCCAAAAGCTCCGAAGTTGAAAAGGCTTGAAAACTGAAGTCTGATTTACCAAAGCACAGGTGAAAAGGGGGAGGGTGGGCAGAAATGTTGGCGGTCTGTTTTGCCAAAATGCCTCCAACCTCTCCTGGAAGGACCATTTCTACCTTACACCATTGCCTTTCTCATTTCCCGATCAAGTTCTCCACTGAGACCATTGATTATGATCATGGCTTGTACCAAATGTCCACTGGGAAGCAAACCAAGAGCTTCAATTTGTTCCACAGCCCTCAAAGACCAGCTGTCAACAATATTAACTTTTGCTTAGAAATGACCCTGGTAAGCCACAAATTGCCTGTGAAAGAGACCTTCCCACCAGGAACCAGACTGTGAGTCTACCTGGCCTCACATCCCATCTGCAGGGCAGAAGGGATTAGCAGCAACCAGCTTCTAGGGAGGAAATTATGGGATCCTACAGGCAGCAGATGTGGACAACCTTCCTGATAGCCTCTGCCAGCCTGAGGCTGATCTGTGCTCCAAATCACTGACCTGGAAAAGGAATTTTAAAGCTCTTTTCAGCTTCTTAAACCACAACGCACCTTCATGCATGTTGTTATATTGAGACACAGAGAGAAACTTCACTTCTGAAAGGCCACAAGGCAAATGAGATTTTCTAGGAAGACAGATTCAGCTCTGCAGGTTCCCAGGAAAGGCTAAAGACATGTTTATAAAAAGATATTAGCCTAACTTTTTCTCTTGCCAAGTTTTGCCCATAAAAAGCAGCCTTACTCTTTCAAAAAAGCTGCCTTATTTCTAGGCAGAAGGATAAAATCTGAGGCTAAAATCAGTCTACAGCTCTCAACATAACTTTGGTCAGGGACCTTTTCTTTGTCCCTGATCTGCTGGGCCATCTCACTTCTGATCTGCGTTTTGATCCTTGCTTCACGGGGAGCATACCTCCAGTTACTGCGTGGAAACACTACAGAGAAGGTGAAAACAAGTCTTTTCCCATTCCCAGCCCCTTTGGAAAACCACAAGGATGTTGCTCACCATCCAGTTCCTCCACTGAGATATTTGCTAGCTGTTCGCTGTCACTGCCAGCGGAGAGTGAGCGGTTCAGGTAGTTGCCTTTGTACAACAAGCCAGCTGTTACATGGTGGAATGGCATCTTCTCCCTGGGCACAAGAGAAAAGAAAAGAGAAAGGCTTATTTTAATTATTTGTCTTTGTTTTATCTGAATAGTACAATCGCCTGCCTTGAAAGAGTAGCTGGACCAAAGAATCCTACACCAGGGAATGCGCACTGAAGTTGGGTGCATGATTGATGGATTGCAGATTTTATTTGCTGTCTAAGACAGGAGCTAAACGAATAAACAAAAAAGCAGCAGCTTCTTCTTTATGCCAAACAAGAGTTAGCAGAGATAGAACAGCGGTGCCTTAGGAAAGTATGAGTCTCTAGCTCTCATACTGCAGCTTTCAGTCTAGAGATTTGCTATTTGATAATAATTATATAGTGCATAGTGGTCTACAATGACATGCAATTAGGAAGGCATAGGATCCAGCAGCACAACTGTCAAAGCCATGCAAGAGGCTGGACACCAGCTCTCAGACCCTGCTCTGGAGCATCCAGATTCCTAAAATGGTTCAACCCCTGCTGCCCATAACATCCGTGCTGAGAGACACGTGTTACACCAGTGCCTCTGCTCCAGGCCCAGTGGCCCTCGCTGAAAGAAGAAAATTCACATTCAAGCAGGGCCCAACAAAGAACATTTTCATCTCGCAAATATGACAGCTACGGAAAAATACTGCTCAATGGGAGGCTGTAGCAGAAAAGTGTTTGCAAACTTAGCAGGTATAAACACCGCAGCCTAGTGAAGGGCAGCCATCTGCACAGACAAAAGTGGAAATTACTGTCAGCAGCACTTACACATTGATTTAGGATACACAAGAAAGAAGCAAGTTTGCCAAAGTCAATTGAAATATTAAGAGGAAGATTTGTCATACCCTTGGCTGGTTTCAATCAGTGCAGCCCCATCATGGGCCTATTGCATTTTATACTGTACATTTCCAGCAGATATAAATCAGCAGAGTCAACAGAGCCACCCAGACATCAGCAGAGGATCTGGCCCAGGGTCTCCGCAGGGGCTGGAAGGTGGCCAGGACACGCTGGGCAGTATGGTTTGGAACGGACCATTAATATAAATTTATATGGCAACTTTGGCAGATCTCACTCACACCAGTGGGGGACACAGCCCTTGGAAACAAACTCCAAGGGCATTCTCACTACAGCCATGCCAGGACATCAGCTTGCTTTGCATAAAGAAATAAGTGCCACCTACTGAATCGTTTTCCAGCCAACACTACAATTACAAGGATGATCTGGCTCTTACTCAGCCATATGTTCTTACCACAGTCAATAAAACAAATATATATACATATATATATATATATATACATATCAATGCATTAATTTTGTAACAAATGCCTTCTTGCCTCACTGAGTTAGTAAAAGCTTTAATAGACTCACCAAGAGCAAACTAAACTCGAGACACAGGAAAGCAAAGAAGAAAAGTCATGAGGTTTCTCTTGCACTGCTTAGCACGTACCTAGAATTTCTCTTGCAGTAATTATGTAAATAAATCCTAATCGTAATTTTAAGTATTTTTATTTGGGAGCCAGTTTCTTCAGCAGCACATTAGAAACCGTAAACAAGGTTTTCTTTTTCATTAAGCAGATCTGTAATTTCCCAGCACTTGCCAATTAATGTATTTCATTTTGATATATTGCTCACTCTGACATATTGCTCTGCACTAAGATGGGAATTTTATCTACCCACGGGGAGACACACAGGCAATACCAGCTTTGGTACTGCTCTAGGTGCTGACAAGCAGGGCTGGAGAGACACTTCCATCTTTACACCATCTTCATTAGCTGCCAGGCCCACCACAGAGTATTCAGGCAGCGATCGATCCATGTTTTCTCTCAATAATCACACATGCAATGTAAAAGCAATTACACTGATTTTCAAAACCCTATCAAATTAAGGAGATTTAAATTTAACACCTGCAGCAGCCCAGGCGGAGCTTTGGGTGAGCTTGCAATGCAAATGCACCCATGGGGCTGAGGACTGATGCCAGCACCGACCTCCTCTGGCCCCTGGGCAAAGGGAGCTCAGCCCCTCACATTCCCTGAGCTCACCCCTGGTCACAATAGCTGCAATCCATGGATTTAGGAGCACTAAAGCACTTCTGAAATAATTTTTGGCACCTTTGCTCCTACAACCACAAAAAAAAAAAAAAAAAAAAAAAAAAAAAATGACGACACACCTCCCCTGAGGGCTGAAGTCCTTAAAATCAGCTCCCACCTGGGATCCTGTACTGTATTTTAGTACCGGGGGGGACGACCCATGATATCATAGACTGAGAAATCCTGGATTAAATTCTACTGCCTAGGTATATTTTTTTTTTTAATTGCAATATTATTCAACAGAAACCCTGCAGAGCTGCTGGAATTCAGCAGCTCTCAGCCTGCCTCCAATTTTAACAAGAGATGCTCAAAACTGGACCAGCAGCAGCTCCAGCACCAGATGTCCAAACAAGGATGTGCAGGCGCACTTCAGGAGCACCCAGCATCCTGCAGACGGCAGCCTGCTGTCAAAACCGAGCCTGCGCAGCGGGAAAAAATGTCCAAAAGGGGCATTGCAAAGTGTGGGTTGTGGGAGAGTTCATAAAGCAACACACCACATTTGGCAAAGCACCCTATGTTGAAGCACATACAATGATTAATGGGAATATGTAGGCTCCCGATGCCTGTCTGGGAACAAGAGGTCCGTCCTAGCACAGCAGATTGGTCCAGGCTCGTTTTGAATTCAGCCAAAATGTCGGTGTTAGAAACACGGTAATCTCAAGCTTGCCTGTGGCTGTTCCCTCCAGTGCGAACTGAGACCCTGGGTAAACTCAAGCCATAAGTGAACCGGTGTTAACAGGATCCATCCCACACCACGGTGATGCCCTTCCCGGGCGCTCGGTCAGCAGCAAATGCTGAGTGCAGGGTGCTGACAGCTTCCTATCTCTTCAACACGTTAGATTTGCAGCAATGTGCACTCCCCTCCTCTGGATGGAAGCCAGGAAGATGCCCCAGCTCTTGCCCCATTTTACAGAGCTGTACAACAAGCCTCTGAGCAGGCAGCTAAGCAGTGAGCTTTGCTCTCCATCCCCAAGCAGTCAAGACAGACGCATTTTCCACTGAGCAACTTGCAAACTGAAAGCAGTTTTCAAAGGCATAGTGGGATTTTGGAGCAATGAAATCTCCTTGAATAATATCATGAAAACATTGACATTTAACCAAAAAGCCCTCAAAGAACCCATAAACATGTGTATGGAAATGTTACCATGGTACCTTGCCAAGGTTTCAGTCTCTGCGCCAAGCTCACCAGCAGGTTACATCCCCCGTAACGCCCGGCAGCAGCACTGCCAGCCTCGCTCTTTCCTTTCAACACAACCACATTTGTGAAATTTATAAGATGTTCATAAGCAATTTGCCGTCAGGGAAAAAAGGCAGTTACACGATGCTCACATGTCTACGCTCACTCTGGTTTGCATTCTTCACCAGCTCTTGTGATATGTTTTTTAAAAAGGCTTTCAGACCCAATTGAAAATCCACATGACTGTTAAACTGGAAGGTTTAGCTTAAGTATCAGTCAACGAGATTGAATCAGGACCAATTTGTATTGACCTTGGATATCCCTTGGTGGTTATCAATTTGGAAAAGAGTTCTTGCTAGCCTCTCTCCTATGTGCAGGACAAAATGACGCCCAGGAGTTGTTCCTGGTTTTACAGCCTCAGGCACATAACACACAACACAATTTGCACTGCCTGGGTGTTATGCCTGGCCAGGACTGTGTATTTGACTTCTCTGTTCATCTGTAATTTGGTGGATCCCAGGCTGCTGCCCAGCAGGTTGTATGCCACTGGACTAACAGGTTCTGGATGTCAGCTCAGCCCCACAGCTACTGCCCCACGGGTGTCAAACAGACCAGGCAGAAACAGCGCTGGTGGGGAAACACGGGAAGATGGTAAAATTGAGATCTCCACCTCTCCCACAAATCTGGCTGAGGTTGAGCAGAAGGTTCAAGCTGATACTATAGGAAAACACACATACATGGGTGGACCAGGACGCACGTGCAGTACAACAGCGTAAGTTTCATTTTCTTAGGAAACCAGGCTAAAAAAAAAATACAGGAATACATAGAAAATCCATGAAGCAACCAGATGGCAGGGAAACTGGAACAGTAACTGTAAAGTCCCCCAGCTCCCTCTAAAACCCTTTAAAAATTCATCAAATAAAGATGCTTCTCCATGGGCAGAGCAACACTGTAACATGGAAAGCAAATAAAAGCAGTGACTTCCAAAAAAATTATCTCGTTTTTCCCAGAGCTGAACAACTGCCATTATCTTTTCAGGTAGGATGTGTAGCATCTAGCTGGATCTAAAGGCAAGAGTGTAGCCAACAGACCCCGAGTATCACCTGGGAAATTTCTGGGCTATTTAATCCTCCATGATGTGGGCACAACGCATCAGTCAGGGGACACAACCAAGTTTCCAAAGTCTTCATTGCTATCTCGGTACATTTTCCTTCCCTTGGTGCCCATGCACCAGTCCCTTCCCTCTCTCCCAGGGAGGCAGCAACAGCTGATGGTGGTGGTTAACCTGAGCTCTCTGGCATGGGAGTGACTGAGCTGCACTAAATCCCCATGTCTGTGTTTGTAGCCAATATAGTTCAGGGAAGACAAGTCAAGAGTTTTGTTGCAGACACATGGCTTTGGCAAAATCCTTCTGCGAGCACTAGGTCACTTTGTCCCTTATCACCTGCATTCACTGTTGCTAACAATAGCTTTAAAGATTTTTTTTTTTAATTTATTTTGTGCAAAAACTTGGCACCACAAATGCAATATGAGCCCAAGCTACCAAAGGAAAGTCTGAAGGGCCCAAGGAGCCTCATTCTGGCATTGGAAGGAGCTCTGAGGATGCAGAGAAGGGGAGCAGATCGAGAGCTCTGTAATGAGGTGTGAGGATTTAAGCTGCTGCAATAAAACGCAGAAGTCTTGTTTAATCCACCTCAGCTCAGGTATGTACAGATACACAGGAATGAAAGTGTGCTCAGGCATACGGCTTTTT